GCGGAGCCAGCTCCACAACTGACTCCGCAAAATGCCTTTACTTAAAATACCTTTGCTCACGGAAATCTTCAGTAATTTTACATATGAGCTGAGCCTCGACCTCCAACTGAGTGGAGTTTTTCACACCAAGAGAACAACCGCAAAACACCCTAAATGAATACGCTTCACAGCGATATAAACTAACATCCTCTGCCTGCATATCATCAGCCTGTCAGTGTGTACCTCTACTCCCCTGTGCTCTGACAGTAAACTATGCCATTTTAGCAGACGGCCAGAAGTTGTACTGTCTTCTGGGTTTTGCTTAGAAAAAAACTCTAACCAGTTCTTAATGACCTCTTTTATTATCACTCCACCACTACTCTTCACACCTGCACTCAAGAATAATATTTACCCTGTCTGTCATCATCACACGGTGGATGTGTGTCTTCCTGCCTTTGTGTCAGGGTCTAATGATGACTACCATTCTCCGCTTCTCTCAGGCGTCTTATTAGAGAGGGGAGTAGACACGCTCTGTCTGTGTGAAATAGGTCTTTCTCAGGAAAAGTGGGAGCAGAGGGCTGAATACCGGCAAAAAACCCAAAGCTCCCTGGTCAGTCATAATATATCAATTAGACACAACTTGAATGCAAAAGCATGCCCTTTCTGTGTGTGTGTGTGTTTATGTGTGTTTGTGAGGACTAAAAATTGGATTGCTACTGTACTTGTGGGGACCAACAGTCCCTATGGGGACAAAATGCCCATCCCCATGGGTTTGAAGGCATTTTTGAGCCTCAAAATGTGGTTTTAGTATCAGGGTTACAATTAGGTTATAGTTAGGTTCAGGGCAAGGGTTAGGGTTAGTGGCAACAGAAAGCATTATGTCAAATATATGTCCTCCCTAAGATATAAAAACAAGTGTGTGTGTGTGTGTGTGTGTGTGTGTGTGTGTGTGTGTGTGTGTGTGTGTGTGTGTGTGTGTGTGTGAGTTGAGATCAGTTAATAACTGAGTCGGTGCTGTGGGTGGGGACGTGTGATGAATTTGGGTGGCATGCTGCACTGATCTTGTTGTGAGCCACAGTGTGATCACTTGCATTTGGAAAAACAAGAGTTAAGTCACTCACACACACGCACACACACACACACACACCCCTTGAGAGTTTAAACAGAAAGAGGGGGAAAAGAGGCAAAGGGAGGAGTGAGAGAACGGAGGGAGACGCCAGTGTTTTCAGTCTCTGTTTTCAAACTTTGAGAAGGCTTGGGAGTCATTTGTAATGAGAAAGACAACAACTGGATCATGATTCTTCTCAGCTTTCACCCATGAAAAGATCAGCACAGCGGGATTTTTGGATGCAGATGCATCTCCATGCATTTGCTACACCCAGTTTTTTTTGTGTGAAATTTGATGCGCCTGTGTGCCGTAGCAATGTTTTATAAGCTTTCGAGATTTTGATGGGAAAATGCAAACTCGGATAAATGCTGGTGCACCGTGGGAGCTTGTCTGCTAAACTGGTTTGCCAGGCTCATTCACTGTGTGTTATTCCAGCCCCTTTTTCAGTGTTGTATGTCAGTTGTTGGCATTTTAACAAAGCCATCTAACTCAAATGGTATCATTTGTGACAGACAGAGTTCTGGCAATAGTCAGATGAGTTGGATATCTTTAAAGGTCCCAAAGGATCCATCAGATTTAAAATGCACAAAGTAAGCCTATATTTTTTGGCATGATTAAGCTTAGTGAGAATGGGGCAAATTTTCACTAAAACTGCAACCGTTTCTTAATCATAATGAAATTAATCAGCAAGTGAAAACAAAATGAAACAAAGGCAAACAACAGACAACTCTTCTGGCTTTTAAAAAGTGGCTGTTACCTTTTGGCATCCAGTATTGCAGTGGGCAGCGAGTCAAGAGCCTAAGCAGGTTCTGGCAGAGTGGCATCATTTTATGTGAGATCATATAATGTGATGATATGATGCTGATGTCTGAATTTTGATTAAACATGTTGACCACTCGTGCTTTTCTGTTCACAATGAACCTCGAGCTAGCAGTTTGCTTACCGTAGAGATTATGGATTTTATACATACAGCTCTGAGCAATAAAAGAAACAAATGTGTTTATATGAATTGTTATTTCATACAGAACCCATTCTCAATGCAGCATTTTGCCCGTGTGTTGTTTCTATTTGAATGTTACAGTCATGTGAAAAAGAAAGTTTTCACATGACTGTATCCAATCCTGTGAACATCCAAGTTGCTCACTTACTGCTCCCATATGATGTAAGTAGGTGAGTAGCAGCCAGGTGTTGATAATTAAATGACTGATCATCAGCAAGCGTGAGCACTTCTATAAAACTGGAAGTTTTAGCAGCTTGCTGGTGTGAAGCATTCAGGTGTGTGTTAACACAATGCCACAATCTTCCCAGGAGTCGTTGTCTCAGCACATTCACTCTGAGGTCAGAACATGCGATGCTCAGAGAATTGCAACAAAACAACGAGCTAGATCTCAGATTCTACAAGCTTCAGTTGGTCTGTTAAATGTTAAAGTTAATGATTATAATTAGAACAAAAAACTGAACAAAGTACTGCTTCTGTGGAAGAGTTGCCAGGAAAAAGTCTCTCCTCTACAAGATCATGGCAGCAAAGCTAAGGTTTGCAAAGTTGCATTTGAACGCAAGTTCTGGAACAACAAGACCTAAATAAAAATGTTTGGCCAAAATATACAGCACCACATTTAGCAAAAACCAAACACAGTATATCAGCACAAGCATCTCATACCAACTGTCAAGCATGGTGGTGGAGGGGTGATGATTTTGGCTTGTTTTGCAGCCACTAGACCTGGGTGCCTTGCCTAATTGACCATCAACTTCTCTGTGTGCCAACGCATAGTACAGTCGAATGTAAGACCATCTGTCCTAACGCTAAAGCTTGACTGAAATCGAATCATGCAACATCCGAAGCACAGAAGGGACTCTATAACAGAATGGCTAAAAAGGAAAAGTATCAAAGTGTTGCAATGGCCCAGTCAAAGTCCAGACTTCAACCTCATTGAAATGCTCACACACACCTCAATGAACTGAAGCCATTTAAAGAAAAGTGCCCCAAAATTCATCCACATCAATGTGAAACGCTGATAAAGTCATAAAGAAAATGATTGCTTTGAGTCATTGCTCCTAAAGGTGGTTCTACAAGCTACTGAATCATGCAGTCTAGTTCGTTTTGAACAGGATTATAAAGAGTCATATTAAAACTTTCTTTTTCATATGATTGTAGATATTGGAGAAAAAAAGAGTTGTCCTCTTTCTCACAGCTCATCACACAACCCACAGACTTACCAGCAAAATACCAGCATAACTGTACACGTATATGCACTATATCCATTTATAAAAGCATGTGAGACATAAAAGGAACAATACATAAGGTTCTTTTTCATTAAACTAAGTTTGACTCTCTTACAGCCTAAAGCTCTGAACTCTGCATTTGAGCTTCTTTTGAATCACTTTTTGTATTTCTCAGATTAATTGCATCTAAAATGAGTTCCTACTTGATGTTGCAACAGTCAACGGCTTGAAGGAAATGACTCATGGGAATTACAAGAAAGTACTATTTCTCATTTGCAGAACTTCGCTGACATTGACTTTTTAAAGATATTTGTGGGAGAGGTGCCACTGAAGTTAACACTTCGCAAAGGCATAATAAAGCAGAGGCCCCTGAAAAAAGGAAGATTCGGTGCACTCTTTTTAGATATGACTACACAAAGCACACGCCTTATATTATATCTTCATAATAATCTGGCTTATTTCATGAATGTACAGTATTGGCATCAAATGAAATGCAGAAAGAGGAAAACTGCGTAATATTTTGCAATCCTTTTCTGACTTAAGAAGCCAGTTGAACCCTTTTTTCTCTTGTATTGAATACTTTATATTCTAAAAGAAAAAAGCTGACATTGACGTTGTTTTGACACAAAAGACAAGTGTAAAATGTATTATACATAAACACTCAAATGGCTTTCTGCATGTTGCGTTTTAATTATTCTTGTTAATACTTTTTTTTGGTGGGGTTTTTTTTCAGCATGACGTAGTTTAGAGTTAATCCTTTGAGTAAAGTATGAAAAATGTAATACCAATTAATTTTGATTTAGCGAGTGATAGATTTGCAAATGGAAATGGGGAAAAACAAATCCAGCACAAAAGCCACCACTGAGATGTTTTCCCTAATTTATTGTTCGTGGGGGTGTGTTGAGATCCCCTGCGAAGTGTAATGGATCTCAATTCACTAATAAATGCATTTCCTCTCAGCATACTCAGTACTGTCTTTATTATCACAGAGGACAGCAAATGCCCCGTTGATGGAGACCTTAGAGGCCCACTGGCATCTCTTGATGTGTCTTTGCTGCCATCTAGTGGCCACAGATGCTAACACCGGTGTAATAAAATTTCGGTACTATAGGGGTCACTGTGAGGTCATTTTTCACAGTTTTGCTAGTTTTTAGAGGCCACTTTGGATTAGTGTGGGAGCGAACGTGCTCTTTGCTTAATGACCACTAGATGTCAGTAAGTGACTTTGCTTGGTGATCAGGTGCATTATTTGGAAGTGCTCGCTCATCCCTTCTGTTAGCAAAGAAGATGCAGGCACCGATTTTTGTGAACAAGCTTGAAAGTCACCAGTGCCTCCTCACTCACTGAATCACATCCATTTACATTTTTTTCTGAGGTTATTTTAGTACAGTGCGAGAAAACAAAACAAAAGGCAAGATGTGAATAAGGGAGGAAGTTGATGAAATGCTTGTGATTACACTCCAGTGTCATTAACTGCTCAGATCCCCCCAAATTTGGGAAGTTTGGTAAATCTGCCCAACAGGATTTAGAAACTACACGTGTGTATGTGTGTGTTTTTACACTGTTGAGCCTGAGACAGAGAATTTTTCTTCTGCTTCCAGGGGCCAGCACTGGGGGCTGGACAACACCTCTCTTACTCTCTTTGCCCTACTCCCTCCCCACCCTCTTCAACTTGCCATCCATCCTGTGGGCTGTGCACACAGCACCCCCGACCTCCCCTCCTCCTCCTTCTTCTCTGACAGCTTTGCTCCACCAGCTCTGCACTGTGCCGGCCTTGAGAGGAGTAAGGGAGCAGAAAGAGGCACTAGAAGAGAGGATTTGCTCAACCGAGGAGAGACGGACAGGGGAGAGGGACCATGGCTGCTCTCTCTGCCTTGCTGAAGACCTGGGTTATTCTGCAGACCTTGTGCCTGGTTTTGGCTCAAGTGGTGAGTGGCACAGAAGAGCTCAAAACTTGATCGGGGCTCAAGGGTTCAGGGGGTAAGGGCCCTCGGTAAGGGTCCAGTCGGCTATGGATATCTTCAGGTGATCTTGTAGGTTTCGTGCCATCTTGGGCTGGATGAAGGGATTAAATAACCACAGCATGGAAGCGAGGATATAAGTGTGATGAGTACCCAGCTTTATAGAATGAATGTAGAAGAAAATGATTTTCAGGGGTGGAAGCTATCTTGTGGATCTTTCATGGATCACCCTTATCGTACACGGACTCTTAGGTCTTTCTAACCACGGCGCCCCCTCTTTTTTAAGGCACGGATTCATCATTACCTAGGCTACCTTTACAGGGGCCAAGAGGAGCACTATTTAACCAAGAATGATGGGATTTATTTTTTCAGTTTTTTGGGGGTGAAATCTTTGCAGCCATGCCAGATTTAAGGGGGGGAAAAGTCAGTGTGCACTGACACCGACACACAAACATTGTCCACTGAGCGTGAAAGCTGTTATTCAAACAGACACCTACACGTTATCTTCTGGACTTACAGGAGTTTTCACTTTCAAGGATCATTCTGTGTTTTGTTTTGGGGGTTTTAACACCTGAAGAATTCAAAGTGGGATTTATTCTTTTATCACTTGATGGACTGACCCTCGCAATAAAATGTTGTTCAAGACAGGCAGTAGGATGGAGAAGGAGGGGGGTGGGTTGGGTGGGGGTAAACAGTGCCAGTCTTTTAGCCCTTCCTCCCACATTCCTCCTCGATCCTTTGTGTTTACCTCCTCAAAGATGCCAGTTTTATCATGTTATTTTTGTTGCAATGCTCCATGTTAAACTCACTCGGCTTTCAGAGTTGCCCACCTTAACCTGCAGTAACCACTCCGATATTTGGTTCTATGATGGAGGGTTAGGTTATATTTCCTTATTTGGGAAAATAAAACATACATCAAATGTGTTTTCATTTTTATAAAAATCCATGAAAATTAATATCCACTATGATATTACAATATATATTTAACATCTGTTAGTTATATATTCCACAATGATACTGCATCCTGATTGTTGCTACAGGCTACTGCACAGAGTGAATTAATAAATGTTGCTGTTTGACCTTTTTTCCTCTCTGTCTGTGTTTCAGAGGGGTCCACCTGGACCTCCGGGCCCGCCAGGCCCACCCGGCCCCTCTGGCACTCCTGGGTCAGATGGCATTGATGTGAGTATCCACACAGGTTTGCCAAATAGGTTTTCCCACAAAGCTCCTCATTGTGCTGGAGAAATACCAAATCAGGAGGTGTGGCGCTGTACTGAAGTCATACCAGCAGAGAGCGCTGCAAATGAAAACACCGGCACAAAAGAGCTCTGTTCCCAGCAGAGAGAGGGGTCTTTGAGAAGAGATCCTTGCCTCAGACCCGAGTTTGGGTCACAGTAACGTGATATGTGCGAGTTACTCAAAGGGTTAACAACAGGCAAAGTTGTGTAAATGTGTTGGAAACAGAAGCTGCTGTAGAGCAGTGTGGAGATAGCATGCTTTATGGCTCAATACCAAATCAAATGTAAAAAGTCTCTTTTTTTATTAGCATTTTAGCCAAAAAACTATTTTTAAAAAGCTCTTTATCTATCAATAAACGGTGTCAGTCTAGCATGTTATTAAACCTGTCACTCTTTGCTCACTCATCCAAAGGCTTAACAGTGGGATCAAAGCCTGATAGAAAACGCAGCCAGTGTAGACACACTTCAGAGTCCATCTAAAGATTGCTTATAATGTCAACACTGGAGCAACTGATTAACATCTGCCCGTGCGCCTCTCTGTGCTCAGTACAGTATATATTTATGTGGCACATTTTTCTCATGCTGTCTCGTGAAATTTGCGACGTGATAAATCTTCCTAAATTCATTTCTATGAGGCGATGCGTAGCAATGAAAGGCATTTAGGTGATGAATATGATACAGTTGTGAACACAAAGGTGTAACCATGGCGTGTACTGTATGTTTAGTTGGGTTAACACATGCCCTTTGTCTATCTGCAGGGAGAGAAAGGGCGTCCCGGGTCACCTGGCCCACCAGTAAGTCTGTACTGTCACGGTGCCAGTTTAATTTTGCAGCAACTTTAACTTGTGATTTACTTGAACACGGTTTTTACGGTGTGGATTTTGCTGTAGGGGCAGAAGGGAGAGCCAGGAGAGCCAGGTCCTGACGGATCACCCGGGGAGAATGGCATTGATGTAAGTAAACTGTGTGCAAGAGAGAATGAAAAAAGGAGAAAAACTTTTAAAAATATTGTTTCCAGATTTTGAACTTCAATTTTGAAATGTATTTTCATAAGTTTTACAGCTTTTCCTTCAGACAAACACCTCCTCCATGGCCATTCATACGATGCCAAAGTAATTAAATGATAGATTTCTGTAATTTTGTGCATTTACTTGTTACAACTCAAGGCCAAAGAGTCATGCTGACAGGGTTTTTTCATTTACTACAGCAGCGTTTCTTTATCATGAAGAAAAAATGAGACATACTGCTGAAATTGTGCTTCTTTTTCATATATTAAGATATCCATTGATTAACTGTGTAGTTAGATTTCTCTAAATTGACAGAAAGGGTAGCTTCACTGATGTAAGAGCAAAACGGGTTGTTTGTGGCCTGCGATGTAAAATAAGTTTAACATCCCTGCACTAGAGGCTCAGTCTTGTTTGTTGTCCTATATCCTAGATGATCTTTACAACATGCTATGTTTGTGATAGCACAGTCTGAGCACCCACAGGTCAGTGTTTTGTAGCCAGGATATCAGGTTCAAAGCTACTACCAGAAGTTTTAGGACTACATTTCACAAACTCAATCCCTCTTCTTTGCTTTTAATATGTTTACCTCCATGCAACCACATCACGCTAAAATATGACTAGATAATAAAGTACGCACTACAAGTGGTCTGTAAAAAGAAACCAGAAAGCTTGATTTTGTTGTACCTCACAGATTATTCATTTTTTTATCCAGGTATCTGTTTTAACAGTGCTGAAAGGGGCTGGTTAATATTTTTTTTTTCCTACATATTTACACCAGGTTTTTCCCCAGCTTTCCACAGAGAACATGAAACCTATCGAGAGTGGAGTTTGTCCAGTTGTCATTGGAATAGATCAGGTTACATAAGAGCTTAGAATATTAGTAGGTGTTGATGACGTTAATCTGGTCTATGTACTACACATTACTTGTTTTGCTCATGTATGTTTGTTTTAACTATAAAATAAGAGGCATATTATTATTAAGGCATTGCAAGTCCTAACTACTGCCACTGTGCAGAGACAGAGACTCGTATATGACTGTGTCCTAGCTTTTTCAATTTGAGTTGCTGCTTCAGATGGAACTTGAGCATCAGTGCCAAACGGTCACATGCTAACAGAAGCACAAACACACACACACACACACACACACACACACACACACACACACACACACACACACAAAACCAGGCATTCCTCAGAGGTTAAGCCGGTAATCTGCCCCGGAATCTCAGTCTCAGGTTTGTTTCCCAATTACTTACCTGAACCAAGTCAACTTTGATTAAATGTGAGGTTAACCCTCCTGTGATGTTAATTATGTTTCATTTGTGACGGTTTTCAGTATATACTGCATAGCACATCTACCCGATTTCATTTCTTTCTGTTTGCCTCCAGGGTTTGATTGGAGCAAAGGGTGACCGAGGTCCTATCGGGAGACCTGGACCAAAGGCAAGTGTCTAAACCTTAACCTAAAAAGATTATTAGTGCAAAATCACAATTGTGCTGCAGTTCTGTGTGAAATCTGTTTGTGCTGCTGGTGGAATACTCTGAAAGGTTCAGATTTATAGAAATATAAAATCTCTGGGTAATGTTCCCTATGCCCTGTCACTGTGATGTTGAGAATGACGTCGAACTCCTGCTTGCAGGGGAAAGCGTGAGAATCGCTGTGTTGTTAAGGACTTTCTTTCATTCATCCTGGTGTGCTGTTTTCATTTCAAAAAGATATTGTCATTGTCATCTATATGTGTAATAATACCACAGTTAACCATCACAGATATGTTACTGATTTCTGTTGTTTGCAGGGTCAACCAGGTCCAACTGGTGAGCCCGGAACTCCTGTGAGTAAATCAATTTTTAACTGTCACTTTTTTTGGTTTTTGCAAACATTTTAAAAGAACTTAATATACAAAATGTCAACTCTAGTTTTCTGACAACTGCAGTTACAATGTAGCATCATAAACTGTACACAACAAACAGACACCATCACTTATTTCTTTGCATTTTACAACCCTGAGGTTTTGACTTTCCCATCCTATGAAACCATTTCTCCTTTTTGTTTTAGACAGAGAGAGTAGCAGATAGGGACTCATGACTCGGTGTGGTTAACAGGTGCATTTCTAATTCACTGTGGGAAAGCAGAATGCCAGTTCCAGGTATTAAGACACAGCCTATTCAAAGAGAAGCTGAATAGCTTACCCCTTGAAGCTTATTTATATTGCTGTGGGAAATCTTTGTAAAGCAGATATAATCTGCTTAAGTGGCCATTGCAAGCTTGCAACATTGGGCATTATATATTAATTAACTTGTGATCACATCTTGGTGTTTTTTTCCCCCTTCATGGGTTCCTGATCTTTGTTGTGGTCGTCGTGTTTTTCCGATTCTTCACATTGATTCCAATAATTTTAGCGATCTCCCTTTAGGATTTGTTTACATCTGTAATTCCGCATATGGAGGCTATGATCATCATCTTATAATGAGGAAAATTATTATTATACTCTCACTGATTCATTCAGAAAATGTGTTGGAAAAAGCAGCCAGAAATGCACAGGAGCAATCGACGAGACAAGACACAACAGTGGTTGCAGATTATGTTGCAGATTATGTACAGAAATATTTAACAGTCCACGAGGGCTGGCTTGCTTTAAGTGGTCGTGTGAGAAACTGCAGTTTTTGGCACTAAAGATTTTCAGCCTTCAGAGGTTGCTCTCCACTACTTATATGCAAAGCCAAAAGGCTTTTCATGTGGCTCCTATATATCATTCATTTCATTTTTTTCTGTTCAGTTACTCTGAGTGATGAATAAGTGATACCCAGTATTTAATATGTATTATGATTGGCACCATTTGAAACACTACCCAGTGATGGAAAGGAAACAACTCATCTCTTATATTATTTTATGAGGCAGCCATGCAATTTACTGCCAGGGACCTTCAGTCAAAATGTTTAGATAACACTTTTTTCTAATATCTCTATTTAATCTGTTATGCATGTATTCGAGAGACGTGCAATATCTGGCTTTCTAACTGATTTCTAACAGCTTACTGGATCTTAGTGTTTTAGATCCAGTAAGCAGTTTGAAACCTAGAAATTCCCTGAGAACATAACTATCAGATAGAGATTAGAATAGAATAGTTTCTTAATATACAAGTACATTCATGCAAGGCTGTATTGAAGTTCAGTGCTTGAGTAACTGTGCTCTCTGTATATTAATATAAAATGGCTAATTGGCTAACATTATCTCATAGGGCTCTCGGGATACTTAAGAAATGAGTTATGATTGACTGAATTAGGCATTCTTTTCGAGCCTGCTCAGTTCTCTAACAAACATATTGCAACACAGCTGGTTTTTTAAGGCAACCTCCTTAGTGCCTTTTAGGTCACGCATGAATGCCTGACCAGCTGTGCCTCAATTTGGGTTCAGTTTATCCAAATGTGCTGTAAGATTTCTGCAGCTGACACGAGCCTGATGCAATCCTTAATAAAGGAGTCACACTCCATATTGTCATTAGATTCAGCCATTCCACACAAGCGATCATGAAGCATCAGCTGTAGCAGTCTTTCGCCACTAGGTGGTGCTCGATGTCCATCTATTGCACATCTTTGTAAGTCCAGCGTCATTCAATGTCATGCTTGAGCACAACACTATTAGTTAATCCGTTATTTAGCGTTAACAGGCGTACTGTCTGGGGGCTGTGCCGTACACCCAGCTGTCTTACGCTCCACAGACAGGAGATCCAGCCCTGTGGGCTGTTCTTCCTCCAAGAAGGCTTACTTACTTAATTACTTTGTTTATAATTAATTCCAAGCAAAAGACACAGCAAACACAGACTGATTGTGTTCTGTGTCTTTGTTCCTGAGCGCTATTTAACCTGCACTGACACTGTACACACGCATTACTGAATTCCTGCATTTGTTTTTAATTGGCTTTTGGAAACATTAATTGATACTCTGATGGATTGGTTCCACTTGTTACACAGTAATTTAACCCCTTTGTCACTTTTGTCCACACAGGGACCTGGCCTTCCAGGACTGGCTGTAAGTAGCTTCTCTGGTATTGTGCAGTTATGCCTTCAACTCTTTAAAGTGTGGCAATAATTTGTCTCTGGTGGGATAAGTACATATCATCTTGTTTGTCACGCTCACTAACATAACTGTCCTGTATAGGGTATTCCAGGCCCAATTGGTCTCCCTGGTGAGATCGGACCAACTGGACCAAAGGTAAGGAAACTCCAGCTTCAGTTTATTATGGGGGCCTTTGTAACTTCTCAGAAGCTCTTAGTCACAATTTCTTACTCTCCTCACAAACATTTAGGGTATCCTTGGACCACCGGGACCTCCAGGACTTCCTGGACCTCCGGGCAAGCCGGTAATTGCGAGGAAAAATCGTATGAATTGTCATCTTTCTTTCTGACTCTATGTCACAAAGATCCTCGAGCTAAACACAAAACCACCTTTTGAAAAGCCTGTTTTTTAAAAAAAACCCATACACTAGTGTATCATATGTAGGTTTCCTTGTTGTTGTAGATCCATTAAGCAATTAGAAATCTGGAAAGATAGCATAAGCAACAGCCATTAACTGAAGCATTGCTTCAGACAGCAATCTCAGCATGTCAGGTGGTCTCAGTGCCTGCCACATCAGCTGATGCTCACCTGTGCATCCTATTAGCAAGTCTGATGTAGGGTATGCTATTTAAGCTGCTCCAACCGGCATAAAGTTGATGCTGTTTCTGCAAGCCGCATTGGGCCTAACATCTACTTCTACAATAGCGCCTCTATTTTATGCTATTTTCTGACTTATTCAGCGTCACATTCTCTATTGTTGGTGTCTGCTCTGGTCTTGCTGCTACGCTATATGCTGTTAGGCCTCCTTAGCATGTGTGGTGAGGTTCCAAATATAAATAGTGCAGATGGAACAATTAGCCTGATATTAGTAAATGTTGCATTAACATAAAAATAATACCTGTTTGAACATGAAATATTTTATAATTGTATTGTTTACTTGCAGAACAGTTCATGGCGCTCTAGAGGACAAACATTCACAATGCCACTGCCTCATCGCAATTCCATTACACATAAGCACTAAAGCGCTGCTTGAATGTACTCAAAGTTAATCCACAGAAAGGATGTCACAGTAAACAATACATGAAGGCACTGAGACTGGTGAGATCGGCTTTAAAAACTTAATAAATAAGCTACCGGGAGTTCATTAGGCTTAATCAGGCGTACATTTTCATCAGTCTAATTGTTGCTGACTGAAATGACTGAATGAGATCACAGGCAAGGACATACTGCTGATGCCATGCTTAATGCGTGCTCTATCCAGCACACAGTTAATGTTGGCGTGTGTGTTTTTAATGCGCCGAATGGTAACAAAACACCAAGCGCAGCCAGAGATGACTGCTGCTTGAACAAGTCCCAACAGACACTAAGTGGTGATGCACTAAAAACAGTTTTAAGAGGTATGCTTTTAAGTCATTTTCCAGCGGCGTATGAACTCTCCTGTGTGCATCTCTCTGATTCCAAGAAGGGGAGGGGGGTGCTTCATTGAGAGTGATGTTCCCAGCCCAGGGGAGTGTATTTGTTTAGCTTTAGTGCTGTCCTAGGGTAAATAAACCCCCATTAGATCAGTGGGCTGTCTCATCTGGCTGTTGCAGAAATACATCAGCACCTGTAGAGATACTTTAACTTTCTAACTCAATCTATAAACAGAGAGGGGGGGAAATGGAGGAAGAAATAGATGGAGTGAAAGAGGGAGAGAGTGCTGGCTCAGCTTGGGAGGGTGGTAGACGCAACTGACTGCCAACTATGACTGGGTGACTTTGCTCATCCATGTATCTGTCTGTCTGCTTAGGGTCCTCCAGGCAAGTTTATTGTTGGAGAAGAGGGTAGTGCAGATTTCGAGGTAAGATCTAAGGATTCCTCCTCTCTTGCAAATCTATTCTGACACAACTTCACATTTTATAACCCATACACTGCATATCCTTCTCACTATCTTTTCCCAGTGTCCTCTCAACTGCCCAGCAGGACCTAAAGGCCCACAGGGACTGCAGGGAGTCAAGGTGAGTAATCTGTCTGTTTCAGGCATCAGTGATCGTTTCGCATTACCAAATTATTATGACACCATCCTGCCTAATTGTTTCCCCTCTAGGGACACAAAGGACGTGCCGGTGCTCTCGGAGATCCTGGCAGCATTGGAAGACCGGTGAGCTGCTACAATCTCCGCTTGAGAGGATATGCGCGTGCACTCAGACACCCATACGTGTACATGCCGTACAGTTGCTTTTGCACACTCACCCACCGTACAGGACCAAGGGGAGGCGAGGATTAGCTCTAATGAAGCCCCCTGAGGCACATGACTGGCATTAATCTGGCTGCGATTAGTCATGCCTGGCCCTGGCTCTGGAGTCAGCACGCAGCAAGCCAGATGAAAGGGGTGGTGAGGAGCCAGGTACATGAAGAGTTGGATGAGAGAGTCAGGGTTAGCGCGGGCCTCTCACCTCGCTGTATTAAGCAGAGCTAATGAGCATACTGTGGGCTCCAAGGGAGCGGCTAGCCAAGCCCCAGGAATTAGCCTCTGATCTTCCCACACAAGGAGCTTTCTGGCAGCGCTTGCTTTAGATGCTCAAAACACTCAACGCATCAAGCAAGCGCTCCTCCGAGGCTGACCAGTATTTTAAAGGAGCTGCCTGGCTCTCTTTTCTTCTAAAACACAATGAAAGCTGTTTACATCCTCACCAGTTGTTTAAATGGATACCAACAGGGTTTGCTGTATCACTGATGCCCACGTGATGTCAAAGATGGAGTAATCTTTCTTTTTATCTTTAAAGTGCGAAAAAAAAAAAAACAAGAACTTAATGAACCTGCTGAGGATGGCGAGCAAGATTCTGGAAACCCAGCAAAAATAATATTTCTTTATTGGCATATAAACAAATGGTTTGAAGTGTCCAGTTCAGGGGTCGCATCATTAAAAGGGCAGGCTAATAGACTGCTCAGGCTAAACTGAGTGTTGATGAAAAGTGTGTAACTTCAGCAGGGAAACAATTAGGCCAGCTTAGCTTATTGTTGAGCTGAGCATCTAGCTGGGCACTAGAGTTCCTAAATCCTCCCAGTAACGCGAAAATCTCCCTGATTATGTTTGTTTAATCCGTGGCCTTCTGGATATGCAAAAACAAGTCGTGCTTTCGGGGAGTAACAATTGGCGCTTTGACTATTATTCCCGGTTTGCCCAAGATTTCAGTCTTTATGCTAAGCTTATCCCGACTTATCCCGGCACGAGAGCGCCATCGAGTCTTCGTTTCCGCCCCTTTAACAGTCAGCAAACCCATTATGCGCTGATTGAACTGCTTCAGGTGCTGAAGACCACCAGAGGATGGTGTGAGCAGGCTGCAGATCATCGATAGGCCTCAAAACCACTCACACACCAAACATGCAGACATCAGAAATGGGTTTCAATGAGATTTTTTGGTAAATGTTTGCAAGTCAAACATATAGAGACAAAACTAAATGAAATCTGTGGCTTGATTAAACGTTTTTCAAGGTTTCGCAATTGCTTCCAGGCACATATGCCACAGGGCGAAGCACATACTTATTATTATTAATAATCTTTTTTTTTGTTCTTCATCAGGGCCCCAAGGGAGAAGTTGGCATCTCTGGGGAGCAGGGCATCCCAGGACCTTCAGTATGATGATAATTGAATATTTATAATTTTCATATTATAATCTACATAGTATCATCTCAAATAGCCATTTCTTGTGGACAACGGTGTCTGTCTTACCATAGTTTGCCTCTCTTCTAAGGGTCCCATGGGTCTGAGTGGTTATCCAGGAATGATGGGGCCCAAAGGAGAACCAGTGAGTACTACACTCAGTTTATCACATATAAAAAGCATATTGGCTTTTTGTTTTTCTCCCTCTTTCTCTCTCTCTGAGTACTGCTCTCATTCTTAGATGAGCACAAGGAGGCACAGCCAGACTTGCCCCCACTCTACAAACATCATCCATTACCAGCAATGGGGACATATGGAAATGATGCTAACACAAATCTCTCTCCCTCTCTAATGAGTTGGGGTTGTCTGGGTCCACGGTGCCTCCATCTGTAGTTAATGATCCGCTGTAGCCATCCGTCTTACTGTTAACATTAGCCACGTTAGCCAAGTTAGCACCCCGGCTTAGTGCCAAAGCAAGAGTGCCTGGCTCTCTGTGTAGCTCCCATTAAAGAAGTGAGTTAAGCTCTAATTATCCCTTTATCACAATGAGTGGTAGGCTACCGCGACTTAGCTCCCTCTCTGATCCGAACAGATTGATGGCACTTTGTTGTTTTCCCTCAGGGCCCTGGTGGGTACAAGGGCATCGGCGGACCAGTAGGACCTCCTGGGCCACCTGTAAGAACGCACACACTTAAAGACACACAAATACAAATTCAGCTACTCATATAAAGAGGTATATTCACACACTGAATGCACTAAGGCAACTGTGAGTCTGCTCTTTTCTTTTCAGGGTGAAGAAGGACCTCGTGGACCACCTGGAGAGCCAGGCGATAAAGGAGACAAAGTGGGTGACTCTTGTAGTGGTTTCCCTGAAAGTTCTTTTTTTTTTGTCAAGGCAGTGGTGTGTGTAAAAAAAAAAAAAAGAACCTATTTCAGAGCTTGAATGGAGGCAGCGATACTGATGTGTGCCGTGGCTCTACTGAGGCTGATTTCTTTATCTTCTGCAGGGCAGCCGAGGTATCCAAGGCCCACAGGGTGCAGTTGGCAAAAAGGGAGAGAATGTGAGTGAACGCACTTTTGTTTTTTCAGGCCACAGTTGTGGAGGTGCTTGGCAAGGTGTGCCAAATGAAGTCCACTGACTCATCTGCCTGCTTTTTCAGGGTCTGCCGGGTATTGATGGGAAAGATGGCACACCTGGCATTCCTGGAATCAAGGTAAGTGTGTGCCAGCAGTGATAATGATGAGTAACTTCAATCGGAGGTGAACAAAACAAAAACATTAATTTATTCTTCTTCTGCTCTCATTTATGCAGGGTGGCCCCGGTCAGGCTGGGATGCCCGGTCCTCCTGGTCCTCAGGGAGCAGCGGTGAGTGATCATTCGACGGGGGCGTGCGTGTTTTGTCGGAGAACTGTTCGACAACGCCGCCAAAAAAAAAAGCACATGCAAATAAACAGTCATTGTCACTCAGACCACGTAGAAGCGCAATCTGTTCTTCTCTTGAATTCAACAAAGCCAGAACACAGACAAGGGAAACCAGCTTGAAGCGGTGTGTAAAATTTCGGCGTGTTTTGTTTTCTGGGCAGTCATCCAGGTTAACAGTGACCCCGTGACCCATGCTGCTTTAGAATAAAAAGCACCTTGAAAATAGCATTCTCTCTTCAACCGCAAGCAATTTATCACAATCAGACCAGTGGGTAGACATAAGTGTGTGTTTGTGCGCGCGCCGTTCTGACTAACGGGTAATGGAGCATGAGATGTGCACTGCATGAGATGCTGCGCGGTCACTGCAGTGACACTAACACTCCCTAAAACTCATACACTGCAACTTAGCCTGCTTTATGTCAAACTGTGATACAGCAACCACACACACACACACACACACACACACACACACATAACATCACTGCAAGGTCTACAACTGTGGCAATCACACCACAAGCCTATTTTTACCATTATCATTATATCAAACTGCATTATTACTGCCAACTGCCGACGCCTACGTAGCCATGTGCATTTCACGCTTGCGTTCCTGAAACGTGTCTGATGTGCAGATATGTAGCTTTGATTAGGACTGTTTTCAGCATTGTTTATTCCATCTTCAGGGATTACCTGGCAGCCCAGGAGCTAAAGGTGGACCTGGAGCAAAGGTATGCCTTCTACATGTTCATACTGCAAGTTTGAGATAATGCAGCCCGGGGTATGTACATGAATTCCCTGTGAGCCAAAGCTTAGGCTTCAGACTCCTCTAAACACCAAGTTTCCAGACAGTGCTTCCACTCTCGTCTCCATATGTCAGTGAGAGTGGATATTGCTAACATTGCCATTTTAGACACACAGCTCTGGCAGTGAGAAGAGAAGCCCCAGCCACCTGCTTTTTAAACCTTTTGTCTGAGAGATGCGTAAAGGGAGGGGAACTACAACAACTTGTTTCAGACTCTTGATGAACTAAGAAGATTTAACATCCCCCGCCCCCCCTCTATGTTGGACTGTGAATCGTGTACATTTTCTCTAATAGAGTCCATGAATAAAAATGATGTGGAAATGAGCATAACAGGTTTTCATGTTCTTGTAATGTGTGTAATGTGTGCCTTTCTTTTAATATTCTTCTTATAATATTCTTTTTCTAGGGGGAACCTGGACCTAGAGGTCATGTTGGCTTGCCTGGGCCCTCTGGACCTTTGGTAAATATATGATTGTTTCTCTTCTTTGTGGTCAACTTCAATTTCAGGGTTTTTTTAATATAGCACCAAATCGCAACAACAGGCACCTCAACAGTCTTTATATTGTAATATAAAGACTGTGGTAATAGATAACAATCAGATGACTCCCTATGAGCAAGCGCTTGGCAACAGAGGAAATGAAAAGTAAGGATCTGGTTAGTGTCTACCCAGATGCTTACTCTGGATGGCATTCATAGCAAAGTAGAAAAACCGTTAAAAGCTATAGCATATAGTGAATAATTGTACTTTCTCCCTTTCTCAGGGTGAGCCTGGTATTCCTGGTGAGCCTGGTATGCAAGGAATCCCTGGACCTAAGGTACAAACCTGAATATCACAATAAAACACTAGCGGCAGCTGCTGCTTACTCACCTCACCTGATGTCCGCAGGGCGACAGAGGGGAGCGAGGACCAGTTGGGCCACAGGGAGCAGCCGGCAAGCCTGTAAGCTGCACCGTGTCTTTTTCAGACATCATAACGCGTTCTCTACTTCAAACACATCATGCAGCAGAGCTTCTGTTTTCCCCTCACAGGGAAGCAAAGGAGAGAGAGGGCCCATCGGTGTGCCTGGCGCCCAGGGTCTCAGTGGAACAAAGGGAGACAAGGTCTGTGGACTTTGTGATAATGCAGTTACACAAAGCTGCATATTGGGGGCAGTGTTTGCTCACTAATAGAACGCGAACCCCCCACAGTGAAACCCTTGAATGAGTGAAGCAATATAAATGATAATCTAGGCATAATCATGTTCCTTGTTTTAGAAATGAGGCAACATCTTTCTTAGTTTGTGGTCTCTGGTGTCGCTGGTTTCAATCAGTACTGAATCCTTGTTTTTCTGAGGATAATCCAGTTTACATTTGTCCACATTTACATTTACTCCGTCTCTCCTGCCAGGGCTTCCAAGGAAAAGTCGGGTCAAAGGGGGGCATTGTGAGTAGCACCTCTTTTAAACTGCACCACTGGCTCCGTACTTAAGAATACTTTCAAGAGCCTTTTTCATTCCCCTTATTCTTCGTTACCTCTCTGTCGCTTTTAGGGTGACCCCGGAGTCGAGGGATTGGCTGGCGAAAAAGGCGAAAAGGTAAAAACGTGGACATTTGTTCCAGCACAGACTTAAGCTGCTTTAAAGTAGTTGGTGGTTTTTGTTGCCATAAGGACCACAAAAAGTTTCCAAGTTTGAAAAGAAAAAGGAAATAAATAAATGCAACTTTTAGGCTTTAGATTAAAAAAAAAAGGTTTAAACATTCGGTTCTGGAGGCATCAAAGCAGAGAGTTATATACAAGAAAATGTTGGAAGCATTACCAAAGTTAAGAAGAAGAAGAGGATGTCTGTTTTTTTCAAATTTGCATACAAATCCCCATTATAATCCAGATGGCAAATAAGCTATTTACATGACAGTGAGGCAATGATGCACATTTGGGTCTTTGAAGCTGCATTTTTAGATGTTCATTTACAATATTCATCCTTGAATTATTGCTCAGTGAGTGTCTCCGAGGCGCAAATGATGGATGGAAATGATGAATGGGGAAAATGACTTTCTGTCTTTGCTGTGACAGGGTTTGTCTGGCGAACCTGGGCCCAAAGGACAGGTGAGAGTTACAACGAGTAGAAATCTGACTGCAGGGATGGACTTGTTTTGCTTTATTCTTTCCTTAGTCATATCCACCTTTCTATAAATCAACCCTGACCTTTAACTCTGTAACCCAAAGCCTATGGCATTAATTATAAGAGTTAATTCTCATTATTCATGATGTGTTGGGCCTCACTGGGTTGATTCTCTTTTTTCTTCACAGCAAGGAATCAGGGGTGACACTGGACACAATGGACCCACTGGAGATCCTGGCAAACCAGGAGACCAGGGACCACTGGGGCTGCCCGGTCCTAGGGGGCTTAATGGAGAACGAGGAGTACCCGGTATGCCGGGCATTCAGGGACCAGCAGTGAGTCCAGTTCCACTCTTAATCACAGACACATACAGACAGAACACCAATCAGTGTTTAGTCAGTGCTCAGTGTTCTCCTCCTCTCTCCAGGGACGTGATGCATCTGACCAGCATATTGTTGAGGTTGTGCTGAAGATGATGCAGGGTGAGCATCTAGACCTGCTTTAATCTCCTGAGGAAACATCAAAGATCAGTTAATCAAAATGATGATGTCCTCTCTTCCGTTACAGAGAGGCTAGCGGCCGTGGCAGTAAGCGCCAAGAGGGCTGTGCTTGGTGGTGCAGGTGTAATGGGGTCTCCCGGACCGCCTGGACCTCCAGGGGCATCTGGGCCTCAGGGACCACATGGCTTACCTGGTGCCCGCGGCATCCCCGGCATTATTGGAGCACCTGGGCAAATTGGAAACACAGGGCTTAAGGGTAAAACTAAACATTAGTACTTTTGCATATTGGAATATCTGAAGTTGAACTTCTCAGGCATTAAATGTGTTTTTTTTCTTTCATCTACCTCAGGAAAAAGAGGTCCAAAGGGAGTGAGAGGTGATCCAGGTAGACCTCACTCAGGTCCACCAGGAGCTCCAGGAATACAAGGTAAGACCTGAAGCCTTCTAAATGAACCTGTAAGGTAAGATTTTGTGCATATTCCTAGGCAATTCAGTTCAATTTGATTCAATTCAGTTTATTTCATGACGTTTTAACAAACACTGTCAGCTCAGGGCACTTTATATTATAGGGTTAAAGACCCTCCAATAATACAGAGAAAACCCTGGCAATCAGACAACCCACCATGAACATGCACTTGGCGACAGTGGGGAGGAAAAACACACTTTTATAAGGAGTTAAGTTGTGTTAAGTTGATGTAAATTACATGATATCACAGGATCTGTCAAATCGGTGTAATTCCACCTCCATCATGGCTGGGCCTCAGCAGAATGCCACTAAAAACTGTGCAAATCACACAGTACTCACTGTCACTGCAATCTGAGGGCAGAACCACAAAATCTAGTGACATTGCCACCTAAAACTTTCTTATAAAAAACAAAACAAAAAACTTCTTGTTTACAGCATACTCTCATGTTCAAGTTTTAAGATGCAAATGGGAGTGCCAGAGGGATGGAGAATTTTTGAATAGTAATATTCTGGTGACTGGGCCAAAAGTCAACACAGCTGCTGCATAAACGTAACTTACAATGGATTCACTTGTGAAATCAAGAAATTTTAAGATTTTGGACAGCCTTTAAAAAAAGTGCAGTGTGCGTGTGACACAGCAATACAATCAAATGCAGTAAAGTCAGAACCTGTGTATGAGCTCAAATGTGTCTCTTCATCCCTTCACATGGATTTTGTTGGTCTCTAAAGAAGCAGAGAAGCTTCAGTGGACATTTAAGTCACATGTACATCAACGTGTACTCACAAAGTGTGTCTCAATTGCACTTCGCCTACATTCAACCTAGCTTTTATACCTCAGTTGTGTAACAATCTTTTCTTGGGGCACTGTAGTAGTCCTTCCACAAAGTTTTTTTCATGAACACAGATAAGAAGAGGAAGAAGAAAGGTACTGCAAGCAACTGAAGGACCTAGCATTACTGCTCTCTCCACAGGAGAGCCTGCTGAAAGGCATTTTAAAGGCATCATTAACTCCAGTAATTTAACAGATGCTCTTGAATGAGAATGTAATAGGCTTGCAACAGCACACGCTAATTCAAATACAGGGAAACACACTCACACTTCTGTGTGCACACATGCACACAACTTAAATATATGCATGCATACAGTACACACATGTAATCCAAGTCCAGAATGGGGTTTCCAACCCTTAGAATGAAATTTGGTGCAGTTAATCTTTTTGACCCCTGGAAATCAGTTAAATCCCATTTGATGTTAAACTCTGTCACTCTGCAGGCCCCCCTGGTATCGATGGAGTGGCTCGGGACGGTAGGCCCGGAGAGAGAGGACCTCAGGGAACACCTGGAGAGGCCGGTCGCCCCGGTAAGTCGGGCCCGCCGGGTCTCCTGGGATTCTGCGAGGCAGCGATGTGCCTGGCCGCGTCTGCTTACACCTCACCAAGACTACAGGAGGCGGGAACGATCAAAGGACCCAATGTTTAGAGGCCCCGTCTCCCCATAAGCAGATCACAGCACCTGGGAGAGAGGGAGCAAGGCAAGGAAAAAAAAAAAAGGCGAGAGACCACTCTTCTCAACATCAAGAACGAGAGGTGGGGGGGGACAATAATAGTACATTGACTGCATGTGTAGCCCCCCCCACCGCTCCTTCCTAGAACTGACAACCTGAAGTTTTGACTGGTGGGACATCATGATCTTAATCCTCCACATCACCATGACAACAGCAGCTCACAGCCACCCACCTCCGTCTGAAATCTCAAGTGTTTTTTTTTGGATGTCGGTGTCAGCGCCGTCCAAATATCCCAGTCCTGCTCAAGCAGTGAAAGAGGAACAGATTTTATATTACATCTCTCTTTTTTTTTTTTGGTCTCTCACCAAGTCAAAGCATCTATGAGCTGAAAGAAGCTAAACCAAATGTGGTGAAGGATGCTTTTTTCCTTGTTTGGTCACTTTAAATGTTTGTTTTTTTCCATATGCAATATTTTGTCAGAGGAATGTTTTGAAGTTTTAACACCCTGCCTCTTTTCCAACATCACACCCGTTGCCTTAAACGTGTACCCCGAAAACCTGACTAATAAATGATTGCAGCCCCAGTTTCCACTCAGTACTGTACCGCATTGTAAAATGTAGTCTTTTTCATTTGTAGGCTTGAGTGAGATCCCTGATTTACCTCATGTGTACACTGCCCTCCCTTCCCAATCCCCCGCTTTCAACCCAAGTCTCGTTTTAGAAACTAACAACTAGCTTTATCTCTTCTTCTTGTTGCCTGGCAACAGCATATCCCGATGGGCACTCCCATCTCCCACAATGCAGTGCTGTAAATCTTTGTAAATGTGTGTTGATTATTATGTAGAGGAAAAGGAATGGGTTACGATATGCACCAACAAAAATCCTGTGTTAATGAAATCAGTGAGTAATAAGGAGTTCCTACAGAAATAATGACTCCTCCTCAGAGCAAATCAGTTAACGGTCCTAATGTGCTTTCTGTGCCACTGTCAACTTTCCATGGGAGGTCAGTGCTTTAACGACAACTTATTTTCATCAAAAGAAGCTATTTATTGTTCTTTATATATAATCATCTGTAAAAAAAATAAATAAAGTTGTTTGCTGGCTGTTCAGGCAATCCTAGACTAATAAAGAGGAACCTTTTCTAAGAGCCAATGTTCTTCTGTATCATGTTGGGAATGGAAAATGATCTATTTCAATTCGTTTTTCTTGATATTTGTCCTCCTCCAAATCTTTAAGAGCACCCATGTATGCATGTAAATACACTCCCATGCGTCCTAAGCTGCATATGTTCAGCATCTTTTAATAATCTTGCACTACCGAGGCAAAAAGTTGCAACCATTCAGCACTACTAGACTGCGCACATCAGATTCAAAATTGCTCAAGGGCAGCATTTGCAACTGACAGGTCAGTTGCTTTTGTGATGTCATAGCTTTGTGCCTGGGGGAAAAGATAGCAAGAACTGTGAGAAGCATTCAGGGATGTCTAACATTTTAACATTATGAGTTGGTCTATTTTTTTCTAAAGTCTTAGGAATAATAATTCAACATTATCGACAGTTCAGTATGACAGAGTGCACGAACCTCAGTTTCTCTATTGAAAGTCTTGTGTTAGATCAAGGTACAGCCTCTAAAGTTAAAAACAAAAAAGCCAACAGAAGTTGCAAACAAGTTCCTCTTGTGGCTGGCTAAAAAATGGACTGAAATCTCCACAGACTTACGTGTTTAAATGCTCAACTTTGTAGCATTATACATAAACCCGATTAAAAAAAACAAAACAAAAAGAAAAAAAGAACAACTTTTGTCTTTTTTTATATTGTTCTGCTTTGTGTCAACTTGTACCTCAACATGATAGTGTGTGGTGGGGTTTTTTTGTCCATCCAGCTGGATGGTGATGCTGTAGGCTGACAAGTGCTTCAACTCCTGCAGCTGTAGCCAGTTAGTGTTTGCTATTGTAGTCTTAATCCACTAATTCGATAACTGAAGTGAACCATTTGGCGCATTTTTAGTGAATTTTCTGACTAATTTGACTTGCTGATAGTATGAACCATCCAACAATTCTATGCTTCACTTCTGCTGAATGACGTTCTAGTATTTTACTAGTTATAATAACAGATGTGTGTCTGTGCATTGCTATTAGTGTTAGCTGTTAGCATAGCAACCCACCTTTTTCTTTCTTTTTTTTTTCTTTTTAGTTCTGGTTGCTTCTGAGCCCAAAACCAACATGGTGGCAAGTGCGTCCAAAAACGGTGGGCAACGCCACAGTTGCTACAGTACCGTGCAAAAGTCTTGAATGATCCCTCGGTTTGCTTCCATTTTGATCTAAAACAGCCAGACTTTCTGGTAGTTTTTAAGTGGTCTTGACCAATATTTCTCCAGGTTTTCTGAAAGTTTTCCTTTGGACGTTGGCTGTTTCCTCCCTCATCTTCAGTCTATTTCACTTGTTAAGCTACTTAACACTGACCTATAAATATTCAAGCATAAAAAAGACAGCTAACTCAAGCCACTGTATGAACAATATATATTTTTTAGCACCTTATTACTAGCAACCTGTAGCAAAACACATACCCATTTTTGTAGCTGAAAAAGGTAAAAAACAAAAAAACAAAAAAAAATAGCACCATTTGAGATGCATAAAATAGCTCAGTTCCCAAATAGCTATTAGCCAAAAAAATTGACATATCTCGGCATAGTGTGTTGTGTGTAGTAATAATAATAATAATAATCTAAGGAAACTGGACAAGCTGGTCAAAAGAGCAGGGTCAGGAGAGGAGCAGATGACAAGAGAGGTACAACAATTATCTACATTTCTATCAGTAAAATATGGCGCTGTCATGGTTTGAGACTGTATTTCAACCAGTGGTGTTGGAGATGGTGTTAAAAATGATAAAGTTATGAATCCATTAAAGGACGAGTTTAATACACGTCCTTTAATGGATTCAAGAAAGCATATGATCAGCATCCGCTTCATTTTTCAGTGTGACAATGATCACAAACAGACTACTATTACAGTAAAGCATATCTGGAACACACACAATGGGATTGACCTCCTGAGCGAAGACTGTTTTTGTCTCATATGTATTTCCATTTAGGTTTTCACACGTACGTCAAACTTTTATACTGTGTTAAACGTCATTTATCTACCACAACCTCCTCCTACTTCTACAAGTCCTAATCCAACTGGTCAGTGTAATGACAAGATAACTACAGCGGGAGAAGACAATTATAAAGAAAAGCAGAACAAAAAGACACCAAACAACTGCACGGAGTCACTCAATACACCTCAACACAAGGGTTGACAATGATGACCACATGATACCACGCTTTTTTTTTGAAAAGCAATTTAATTCAGTTTAACATTCCCCTTGGGTTATTTTGTGGAAAACTAAAGTCTGACCACAGCTTCACAGAGTTCCAGATATAAAAAAACAAAACCAAAAAAATGATAAAATAACAGATAAAGCCCCAAAATACAGTAACATGTAGCACTGCAAAAGCACTTTGTGAGGCTTTTTCAGAATATGTTGTTATCCTTATGTGATTGTGAGGGTTTGGTGGTTGTGCTTGGATTACAGTACCTGTGGTAAATGGGCCCAATTGCTGCTCATGTTTTCTGCTTCTTCTTAAATCTGGGCAGAGTGAAGCACACAGATGGCTTTTGCCGCTACTTTGAAGTACAAAATGGAAGGAAATGTTTTAAAGTGGTTGCATTTCCAAACATAATGGCATTAAAAGAGGACACAAAATGAACTTTACCAACATAATTACAAAATCCAATGTGTCTTCTGTGTAAAAGTATTTTTTTTTATAAATAAGCTGTTTTTTCTGCACACATCATTCCATTTTGAAAGCTTATCGACCTTAAAAAAATCCCTTTTTTTGGCACTTTTTATTGCTGGATAACCATTGACAATAAAAAAAAGACAAGGGGCTAGCCATACTTTTTATCAAAACATTTGAAAGTGTATAAAAAGCCACCATATATATATATATAAAAAATAAATATATACAAAACAGTCAATCCATCAGATACTCCTTGAATGTAAGTTTTTGACATCTGTTTCTATAGAACTGGAAAACATTTCCAGGGGATTTTCTCTTAAAAGTCAAATTCAAATATGTTTCTTCACACCTCAAGCACAGGGACAGGATATTAGAAATGCATGGGATGCACTCAGAATGGGATTGTGTCAGAAAGGAACAGAGATATGAGAGATGGCAGCAGTGCTAACATAATTGTGTGTATTCTCTTCCTACAGATTTATACAAACAAAAGGTAGAAAAAAGAGTAGAAAAAAAAAGAAAAACAACAGCCGAGACCAGAATCTTAAAGAAAAGAAGAAGAAGAAACTGCAGTTTGTGATTCTTGTCACCTCTCCTGGGTTGTTTTAAAATATATAAAAGGAATAAAACACAGCGAGGAAAATGTAAAAAAATGAGCCAAGACCAAAAATAAGAGCAGGAAATAAAAGCAACGAATTGGCTTTTGTGGGGGAACAACAATGATGCAATAAAAATGTGCTGCCGGTGTATCTTTGCAGGTCTCAGTTCCAGCGAGGCCCTTAGAAAGAAATCGCAGATGTTTGCTCAGAACTATAGAAGAAATCGGTGAGGGTAAATCTAGCTATTCAACAACAAAGGCAGTGCCTATATTCCATCTTGTGGTCAGACTTAATAACTTTGGGTCACGGTGTTTGGCTTTCTTTCTTCTCCTTGTAGTCTTTTTGCTTCAGCCCCCCTGCCCCTTTCCTCCATCCCCTGTAGCCCTTTACCAGGGGCCCTTGACAGATGGGCCCTTGGGGCTGTATTCTACTGGATGGCTCATACAGTCTGCGGGATTACAGCGGCCATCTTTTCCTTTGGAACCCTGTTGTCCAGGAGGGCCTGGGATCCCAGGGACACCCTGCTGGCCAACGGGACCAGGGGGTCCCATCTTACCATAGCCTGGGGGGCCTGGAACACCTTCAGCATGAAAGGAAAAACAGAGAATATATTCATCATGTCAACACCTCACAGGCTGTTATACAAGCTGAGCAAAGCACATAACTGCCCAGGAGCACAAAACACCCCAGATTTTACCCCGTCTCCTTAAAAAATGTAGATTGGTTTACTAAAGATATTTTTAAAGGTACTTTAAACTGGTTTATAGAAAAACAACAAATTGACAGTACTGTAAAAAGAAGTGCCAGCGAGATAGCATTAGAGTGGCATCAGCTTTGTCAGTAATAGCAAAAACATGAGTTCCTAAATGCAACGCTATCCCCCTTTAAAGATTTATTGGATGTATAATATTAGAATATAAAATCCGTAAGTACAACACTTCCAAAATAAAAAAGCGTGGATACAAGACGAATGAATTTAATCATCAGTAATGTCATCAAATATCATCTGCACGCCATATCAGAAAAATATACAAAACAAGCACACAACACGAAGCATCATCTCGAACAGATGACGTTATTTCCGTGCCCGTTGTCGGGGGAACTTGAATTAAACATGAACGGATATTAAACTCCCACTTTGATCACTTCATGAGTAGCACGGCATCTTTTTCAGCCCATGCTCAACGTCCTGCTCCATGTAATGTGAGCACAGATGCTAATTTGCTCATTTACACCATGCTAAGTGAACTCCATCATGATTAGGGATTCTCAGATGCGAATTTGGCTTGAAAGAATCAGACTGGTGATTTTAATTAAGGCCATTTAAGAACGATGAAAAATTACCTCATCGTGCTGGCAATTTACTAATCAACAGCAAGTTCTAAGGAATTAGCAGCCTTTATGCTATTTCAGCCAGTAGAATAAACATAAAGCGTGCGCAGATGGAAATGCTGTCACACAACGTGAGCAAAGGAAGAAAGAAATCTAATGAGGCAAATAGCTGCCACTGAACTATACGATGAATGATGAATGAGTGGGGTATATTACCCGGTGCTCCAGGAGGGCCTACATCTCCCATCTCTCCAACACCCTTGTCTCCTTTTTCTCCAGGCGGTCCTCGTGGTCCTAGGGCAAGAAAGTAACACATGACCACATGGCAACAAAGCTGCTTACTGTCTGCTTATGACAACGTGACATTACTGTCACCCTCACCTGGGAGTCCTTGTCCTCCTGGCCGGCCTTGTCGGCCAATCTGTCCTGGAAGACCGGGGGCACCTGGGGTTCCGGGACTACCTGGAGTTCCATCTTTCCCTGGAGGCCCAGGCCGACCCGGGGACGCCACCATCTCTACTGGCATCTGCATGCGAGACATGTAATAGGCCATTCTCTCTGGGGAGAAGAAGAAAACATTGTGAATAAAAGAAGTCCACAGAGGAAGGAGCAGCTGTTTCCCAAAGGACAAATAGAACCATTCTTGAAACACAGATATGCATCTCGTGAGATAATACTACTCTAGTGTACAAAGTGGTTTTTTGCCCACTAAATATTCACACAAAGTGCATTTGCACATGTCCTTACCGTCAAAGATCTTAATGACCTGTTGGCGAATGAAGTTCTTGACTTCATCGTAATTGACAACAGCCTGTTTGAGAAGACAGACAGAGAGGGGGAAAAACCCCAAAACAAAAACCAGACGAGCACACATTAATCAAGGTAGATAATTAAAAAATTCATTATTTACAAGAACAGATGGAGCTAGCGAGCGCCTGTGGCCAGTCTCCTCATTTTTCTCACAACCAGCCTGGTTATAGCATGATTTGGAGCTGATTAAATGTTGGAGGAAAGACAAAAAAATCAAACCAAAAACAAAAGTGCAATGAAGCTGCATCTCACGTCATTTCCTGGCGATCCTGGAAGACCAGGGGGGCCGGGGGCACCTGCTGAGCCTGGACTTCCCCTTTCCCCTCTGGGGCCGACTGGGCCAATCATGGGCTGTGCATCCTTGGAACTATATGCTCCTCCACCAGGGGGCCCTGGCCTACCTCTTTCTCCTGGAGGACCCCTCTGGCCAGGAGTCCCTGCCTCACCCTGAGACACAGAGACAAATAAAGGTTATGCACGTCTTTTTACACCTTTATTTAATATTCACTATGTTGATGTGCATGATGGATGTTCTATAACTGTACTGTCCTTTTATTTTACCAAGAGTAATGTGATAAGGACTGTTACCAACTCAATAGCATCAAAATATGCAGAACTGTGTGATCTTATCACGATGGAGCCATTAATTTTTATTTTATTTTTATTTTCACTCTTTAAACCCAACCTTCCAAAGGAGTGTTTCCTTTCCTGTTAAGTACCTGGAAGTTAGGCAAAGTTAAGCCACTCCACGAGAGTGGAGCTTATACGACGAGAGTCTTGAAAGGTTCACTGTACTTGCAATGTAACATATGGAAATATTGTTTGTTTTGCCACAGAAATGCCAAGAAATTATGTGGTACTCAAATATTACTTGTGAAGTACTTAAAATTATTTACATATTAAAATTTACTGACTTGTTACCCTTTTATTCCAGTGTACTTACCTAATATCATTACCTAACATTGTAATTTCAAAATAAAATACATTGAAAATCCATTTAGAAACACAGGAAATACACCCTTAGTTGCAGGCCTTACTGTAACGTGTTACTTGCTATCTATATACAGTATTCATTAAGAATATAACGATTCATCCGTCCATTCGCTTCCGCTTATCCTTTTCAGGGTTGCGGGGGGCGCTGGAGCCTATCCCAGCTGTCATTGGGCGAGAGGCAGGGTACACCCTGGACAGGTCGCCAGTCTGTCTCAGGGCTAACACACAGAGACAGACAACATTCGCGCTCACATTCACTCCCACATTCACACCTACAGGCAATTTAGATTGATCAATTAACCTATTCCCGCATGTCTTTGGACTGTGGGAGGAAGCCAGAGTATCCAAGGAAAACCCACTCAAACACTGAGAGAACATGCAAATGCCAAACAGAAAGACCACAGCCTGATGGTGGAATTGAACTCAGGACCTCCTTTCTGTGCAGCAACAGTGCTAACCACCGTTCCACCGTGCTGCTGAATATAACTATTTCGCCAATTTAGGAAACCTACTGTACAAATACAGACAATATTAATAACTGAATTAAGCCCTGTAAGACGGCTTTTGACTACATCTGTATCACTTTCCACACTGTGGTGCTCAGCACTCAGGTTGTGTAAATACACTCAAAAACAGGCCCACTACATTAGCGACAGTGATTTATCGAGGACAAAGCAGCCCATAATGGACGTCTAATGTTTACACATCAGCGGCAGACAGGCGGCTCTTGAAACAGAGAGGAGCGAGAAGAATAGAAGAGTCCGTTCTTGTCTTTCTCCTCTGTTCTCCTTTTCTGTGCGGCTAAAAACCCTGACAATGCCGTCCTGTCAGCGTGACAAATAGCCTCATCTAGCATCTCCCCTCATGCTTAATAGCATTATCCCAGCGGCAGAAGAATAACTTTATCACTGTACCCACCTACTGTAAAGCCTGCGTCTCAGGCTACATCCAACAGGCTCAGTACTGCAGCTACAGAAGGTTAGCGGGCAGCCATCTGCCAGTTTGGAGAAGGGTGAAGTGAAGGGAGAAGGAATGAGAGTTTCAGCAGAGGGGTCGGAGGGTTAGTGATCTGATGACTGTGTTAAGTGCGAGTGCTGACTGAGCAGAGATGTGGGAGGGGGGCAGCGAGCATGTTCAGCACTGTAGTGTGCCGGTATTAGTCTCCGTGGGCTAAAGGGAACAGGAAAAGGGTGGATCTCACTGCGTTCAGATGGTCCGCAGAGGAGACGGATGGCTGAGCTTCACCTTGAGGAGGCACACACACACAAACACACACATTTCTAGAATACTGCACTGAAGAGTCGTCTCTTACCTTTTGCCCTGACTGCCCATTGTCCCCTGGCACACCTGCCACTCCCTGTCAAAAGAAAACAAAACAGAAAAACAAGTATCAATGAAGGAAAGAAATATGCGCAACATAATCTGTCAGTCTGCCTCCATTATACTTTAAAAAGAGGGCCAACACCACACCCAGACATTACTCACATCTTTTCCAGGAGAACCATCGCTCCCTGGCTCACCCTGAAGACAGGGTCAAAGCAAGGGAAAAAAAAAAAAACAATTTAAGTGAGAAATGTTGGCAGTCTGAATGATGTTTAATTAAATGTAGATAGGGTCATTTTAGAAAAGTACCAACCATAGGCCCCGGGTGCCCCGGTGGCCCTGGAGATCCTGGCATCCCTGGGAGACCCCTCTCTCCATCCTGGCCCTTATCTCCTTTTATACCCTAGTTAACCAGGGAGAAAAAAATGGAGAAGATTCTCTTCTATTATTTGCATGTTTGGCAGCAGGACAGAATTTCAATAGTGCCTCATTTCCACTTCCCTCACGCAGGCATACGCCAACAATACAGACCCACCAACACATAACGTTCCCACTTTCTACTGACGCATTAATTAACAGTTGTGGAAAATAAGATACTACTCTACTTTATGTCTTTTTACTTCTCTTTTCTGCAGTTATTTTCCACGATCACAGTCAGTGTAAATATTACTCGCTTTGCTCACTTGTTTATATTTCTCTGACTATACTGTCGACCCATTCTCCTCTATGGGATTGTTAAAGATGCATTTATTCACACTCAATCATTCAGCTCTTGTTTAACTAAATAGTTATCATGATATTTGAGAGATTCTCTCTCTCACCACTCCTGATGGGCCTGGAGGTCCTGGAGGTCCAGATGGACCTGTAGAGCCCTGATGAGGAAAGCAAATAGATTTGTGACGTCTAGCTTGTTAACACACTGAAATATTGCAACATGATGAATGTATATGTTTGAAATGGAAGTGAACTTACAAGGTGGCCCGGAGGTCCAGGTCTCCCCTGAGGTCCTGGCGTACCTGGATCACCCTGGAAAGGCCACAAACTGACTGTGATGTATGCCAACTCGCACTTTCAGCTTCCATGCATAGATTACTGATGTGCTTTATAATCAAGTTGGAGGAAAGATGTAAAGCAAAATAGTCACCTCATGTCCCGGTCTGCCAGGTGGCCCGGGTGGACCTGTGGGTCCGGCTTCACCCTGCAGGGATAAGAAACTTATGAATATGAACTAAAGGAAGCACGATAAGAATGCAGGACTCTGATTTTGGGAGATTCAAAAGAATAAGTTAGCAAACCAACAAAAAACTCCCCAAAAAACAGACTTTCATTGTAATGATCAGCTTGATAAAAACAATTTGGTTTCATGCAGAAGAAAGACGGTGTAAATGTGGCAGACACGGTAAAGCAGCGAGTCGCTGGCTAACCTTCTGTCCGGGAAAGCCAACGTGGCCGGTTTTCCCTTTGAATCCCTGAGGAGAGACATCAAAGAGAATGAGATTGGTACAGTATAAAAATTCACAAAGTCAAAGCAGCCAAAAGAAGAGACAGGCATGTCTTTGAAAATCCTGAACACCTGCTCTTGGGTAGAACACAAACTGTGATATGGTGAGAGAGGAATAAAAAAAAAGGAGAACTGGAGGGAGACAGACAGCTAGTCATGTCTCCAGTGGAGCGAAGCTGCGCTGCTATACAAGACAGAAAGTTAGGGAGATCTTAGGAGGAGGTACGAAGGTTAGAGGTTTTAGATTTGGTTACATTACGAGTAACATCTACATCCTTAACAAGAGTCGGTAAAGACTGTGCTGCTCCAACATGGCTGAGGGGAAGCAAAATATCGCGAGTCACGCTGTCAGTTAATTTGCATAGGGCAAACCCAGAGCAACTTGGTCACTTTATTAGGTACATCTGTTCCAATCACATGATAGAAACTCAGTGCATTTAAAGTTCAAACCGAGCACGACTGAACGTGGCGCGGTTATTGGTGCCAGACAGGCTGGCCCTGCGTATTTCAAAAACTGCTGATCTTCTTGGATTTTCACCCACACAACCATCTCTAGCGTTTACAGAGAATGGTTGAAAGAAAAGAGAAAATAATCAGTGAGCGGCAAAAATGCTTGGTTGATGCCAGAGGTCAGAGATGAACGGTCAGAGAGCGTGATTGGAAGGCAACAGTAACGAGAAGAAAAAAAGCAAAACAAAAAAACTTGTTACAACCAAGGCTTGCAGGAGGACATCTCTGAAAGCACAACACTGAAACAGATCGGTTACACTGGCTGCCACTCCTGTCAGCTAAGAACAGGAAACCGAGTCTATAATTCACACAGGCTCACCAAATTTGGACAATAGAAGACGACAGTCATGACATTTGTTTGTTAGGGTGGAAATTTGGCAAAAACAAAATAAAAGCATTGATCCATCCTGTCTTATAACGGTGGTTCAGTGGTGGGAGATATTTTCTTGGTAAACTCTGGAGCTCTTAGCACCCCAACTGAGCATCTTTTAAACACCACAGCCTGATAATTGTTGATCACATCTATCCTTTAAAGACCACAGTGTGCCTACTGTATCTTCTGATGGCTGCTTATATGCTGAAGAAATAATTAGATTAATTTCTGATGTTAACGCTGAGAGGAAAAAGGCATTTACATTTACAGCATCACTTAATGAGCACTTGTGCACTTAGATATTGCTGCTGACACAGCTTAGCTGACGACTTTAACTCACTAAATCACCTACTGCTAATTTGCTAATTAGCAGTAGCCTATTGAACTTTTCTCTCTCCGTTGTCCTTTAAGGGGGGACGCTGCACACGCTGTCTGGTACCTGCTAAGCACACTGAGATGACTTATGACTTGATGTGAACTGAATTAAGGAAACAATATTCCAGGTAGTTTTGGGATATAGTCAGTTCGAGTACGGACAAAATAAAACATACTGTGGAAAATGCACGTGTGTGGAAAAAAGACATAAAACACAACCATTAACTTCAAGCGATGTTACCAGGATGGATATTCTATCTGTATAAAAATGAATCTCAAGGTAACATTTTATAGTAAATAGTAAATTGAAGGGTTTTTTAATGTTAAACAATATAATTGTAATCCAATTACAATCCATGAAAGAGTGTACCAGTAAGGAGGGCAATTCATGAATAACTGATGGGTCATAAATTACAATCTTTTTTATTAAAAAATTAAAGCCACATAAATTTGAACATTAATAATGAGCCAGCCTTAATTCTCTGCACAGTTACATTAAAGAATTCATTCTCTGCAACTGTTTCAGTGTTTTAAATCTGAACAACCAAGATCAAGTTGATGCAAGATTTTATTAATAACAACATGATTTTTGTACAATATGAAAAGATACTGTTCATTCTGATTAGAGGAGGGAATACTCACGGGCATTCCCCGGGGTCCTGCTGGGCCTGGAGGCCCTGTTTCTCCCTGATGAGACAAAAATAAAAAGAGCCAGTGCCAAAGATCAGCTATTACAGCCACATCTTTCCTCATCACTGCTTTTTTTTTTTCATTATATACTGTGTGTTTGTGTGTACGTTGCATGTGTGGGCAGACCACCCATCTGATTCATGCATGTGACCTACCCGCAGTCCTGGTTTCCCATCTTTTCCGTCAATTCCGTCAATGCCACGGGGCCCCTTTTAATATTGCAAGATAAGAGAGGACAGATAAGTACTCATAACAGCATAGAGTTCACAGGTAGGTCAGAAAGGGTCATACTTAGATTATAGAGTGCAAAAAATAAAAAAGAAATAATGCACATACCATCAACCCTGGCGACCCGGTTGAACCGGGTGGTCCACTTGATCCTTGAGGGCCTTGAGTGCCGTCGTTGCCCTAGAAGTAGAGATTTTCAGTCCAATTTGAAGTGCGAACAAAAACTGAAACAGCTAAATGTGTGTTTTGTACTCACTTTTTCCCCTTTGAGCCCAGGAAGCCCTTCCCTTCCAGTTTTGCCGGCAGGACCTGGTGGTCCCTAAATTCACACACAGTGATACAGAAAGTCTCAACAGTAACATCAAGAACAAATGGCTGCTTTCGTGGACTGAAAGATTTACATACAGGTGGTCCTGGGAAGCCTGGTTGTCCTTGGAAGCCCTTAAAATATAAAGAGAAACACACTGGTAATGGGTAGTACTGGATCTGTCTGTTAGGTCTATGTGTCTTTGTGTTTTATAGTGCATACCTGATCCCCCTTAGCACCAGCAGGCCCTGCTGGTCCACTGTCTCCTTTAATGCCCTACAGACGCACAATGTTCACCCAGTTATTAAACTTAGAAATCATAAATGAAAAAGCCGGATCCTAAATATTGACAAGCTAAATTTATGATGAAATGCTGACCGGCAATCCAGCTTGTCCTTGATATCCAGGGTTACCAGGAGGCCCCTGCAAAAGGGAGGAAAGTTTTAGCCCAAATATATCCAACACAAGCGTCCAGGACAGTGTTGATGCAATCCCTTACTGATTCTCCTTTTAGGCCAGCAGTTCCTGGGCTTCCACGTTCGCCCTTGAGTCCCTGATAAATAAATAAAGGCAGAAAATTAGTGTCTGCTGACATGTCAGTATCACCCCCCAGCTGTCAGGATGATGTCAGTGCTACTGTTTCTTCATAATCAAGCAGTCAGAGTGACTTACAGGCAGTCCAGGAGGGCCCATGGTTCCTGGGTACCCAGGCGTCCCTGAAGGACCCTAAAGTAGAGATCACAGAATCAATCAAATATGGACAGCACTTATTTTTTCTCCATGCTATAATGTGAGACAGAATGATTGTGTGATACTTGCCTGATCACCCTTCATTCCCGGGAGGCCATCTGACCCTCGCTCACCCTGTTGACCCTGAATGTGACAGGAGGGAAGAAGGATTAGAAAATGAAGAAGAGGATGTGATATGTATGTCTGCGAGAGAGGCTCCCCTGGCAGAAATAAAAGTGACAGGGTAAGTCAATATCAAAGAGTGGAAAAGGCTAACTAGCTTGGATCACATCCCCATGAGACTCCCTATTTGATTTTGTCCTCGGCTCTATACCTCCATGAGGCTTTAGCTCTGAGGTGGTGACACCCGGGAGAAAATCATTATAAATACATATATAAAGAGATTTCTTTGGAACTTTTTAAAATTTACTCAACATATTATCCAGACACTTGCCTTGAAATCCCATCCTCCATGTTTCAGGTGGAAATTTGAACTTACAAAAGCTTTTAGACACCAGCTGTAGCACATTAAAAAAACAAACAAATAGCTGACACCAGCAACAATAAAATGACATGTTATGAACAACAGGAAATCATAGAAAAGCTATATTTCGTTATCTGTTGACATTTGAAATCAAAGTATTTCTTGGTCGCTTTATTCTCTATTAGTACAGGTTTACATGACTCGCAATAATCTATTCAAAATAATGACATTCAGACTGATATACTAGCCGATATTAGCGATTTGCTAATATCAATATCAATATCAAGACTGACAAATAAAAATTAAAAAGTAAAGGCAAACTAAACACTCTTCAACCATGGTATTAGTTATGATGTTGCATATTTTGTCCACCAGAGGTTACTCTCCACCTTCCCTGTATGTATGGTTGGAACGTCACAAACACAACAACCAGCTGATGCCAGTTGAGCATAAAGGAGTAATCCACAACTTGTTGTGACAGTAAAACAAGATTATTTAGAAAATTCATGTTAAAAATATCAGCCGATATATCGATTTGAAATGATCTAATATCGGTATTGATCTTAAAAACCATTTATCAGTTGGGCTCTAAAAATAACCCATATTTATCTTATAGCTTGTGCAGCCCACTAAGCTCATTTTCCATCAGAAACAAGCTCTATTAGTATTTCTTTCTTTAAGCTAACTTTCTTTTGATTGGCTACCCTATATGTGGGGTCGAGCTGTGGGGTCAAGCTGCATGCCTGAGACGACCGCCTCTTTGACATCACACAGATCCAACAGAAGACTCCAGAGTCTCAAGTCGGTACTTTTGCCTCAGTGTGATTCATGAATACACACTGCTCTCATTACTTACTGTACATTTAATATGAGAGAACTTATGATCGGTTATTACACAGTGTCTGACAGTTCGCCAGCTGGGATTTCCTTTACCTTGGCAAAATAGACAGTTTGTAAAGCAAATGGTCAGAAATGAGAGAAAACTACCTCCCAATTAGGCAACTGCCTGATTACCTTTAGTTTATACTCTGATCGTGCTTACCGCTGTTCATAATCTACACCTGCAAAAGCCTACATCGAGCCAAGACGAAACCCTGTGATTGGTTTCCCGTCATTGTCAGGAACTTCTTAACTACTGAATAAAAGCAGCGTTTTCAACAGCAGGGTAACACTACTCTCCCTCCCTCTCACAAACAACACAAACAGACACACTGCTGCACACAGCAGAGGCTAACACCTGCTATAAAGCGATACTACACCACAAATGGACTCCATGCAGTGCTCACACGGCTCACTCATTTAGCATCTCTATTCTCCTAAAGCAATAAATCTGTATGAGGAGAAAAGGGGAAGGGGAGGGCTGTGTCCGCACAGCAGTGCAACTCTCCATCACTTAGATGGGGGAATAATTGAACAACTGGAGAGAGAGAGAGAACCAAATCGTTTCCTCATCTGACATAACTTTCATTAAAGAGCCACAGAGAAAAGGACACGGGGATGGGGAGATGGCGCAAGACGGAATAAACAAGGGTGGCTTTGATTTAAAAGTGGGAGGTTCCACAATTCAGAGGAAAAGACCAATAAGTAAACAAATAGAAAATTGGTTCGCAGCTTTAGGACAGTGTTGGGAAGCAGCTCGACTGCATTGATTCAAATGTTGTACTTAAGTACAGTTTTGAGGTACTTGTACTCCTACTCCTCCACTTTTGCACAGAAGATGTAATCAATTTTACCTTTATTAAGGAGTGAACATTATATGTAAAGTTTGTAAAGGTATGATGTGAACTTTCCTGCAAAATGTTATCCCGTTTAAGTTGGGCCAAGCATCAGCTCTAGTAAAACTTATGCAATTTGATCCATAACCTTTTGAGCATTCCGTCAAACAAACAGACAAAACAAATCCATTGCATAACCTCTTATTGCAAATAAGCAAGAGGGTACATAGGCCTTC